ATGCATCAGTACACGTTATCCATAGGCCTAATAGAACACATAAGCCTAAGCGTGATTAAAAAAAAATCTTAAATCCATAAATCTCAGGCCAGGTAGCGATTTTTTTTTCCGTACGAAACATTTGCATGAAACTTCACTCGGGCCATCTCGGATCGACTCGAGTGAGTACGATACGAGGAACAAGAGCAGACACTTCGCAATGTCGTGACGCTCGAGTTTTACTATTATTGCTCTTTATATGTTTACCTACGGTAGGCCTATGAAATCTCACGGACTTATGTGATGTACGTCACTGTGTAGCTAACTGTGACCTTCTTGGATGTTATTAAATGTTAGTATATTATCTACAACAACAGCAGCAGCGTAGTACCTCCAGTTATAAAGTGTAGATAGGTAAAGTTATACCAAAGGCTACAGAGAAAGAGGATAACCACAGGCTGAGATGAGGTCTTACCTAGGGCCCTCCTTAAACTAGGCCTAGGGTCATAGGCTGACACAACAGTCACGCTTCACATACTGACATGGGTTGAAATTTTGGGGGTAAAAATGGGACAAAATTGAAGCATGAATTGAAAAATAAAGCGCATAAGAGAAATATTATTAAATAAATAATATACCATTCCGGCGTTATTGAACTTGTCCAAACTATCATTGTAATGTAATTAATGTTAAATAATAATAATAATTTCAGCATTAATTACCTTGGCCTAAGCCTTGTAATGAAGAACCTACAGATACTTTACTATTTACTAGGCCTATAAATAATAATCGCGCAAGGGGAATATCTTTTGTTATTTCCCTTAACGTCGTTTTTTTTTTAATTGTTCTCTAATTCCTCCATTGTCTAAGTTCCCCTTAAGGTACATGTAATAATAATAATAATAATAATAATCATTTCAGCATTAATTACCTTGGCCTAAGGCTTGTAATAAAGAACCTACAGATACTATTTACTAGGCCTATAAATAATAACTACCCAGGGGGATTATCTTTTGTGTTATTTCCCCTTAACGTCGTTTTTTAAATTGTTCTCTAATTCCTCCATTGTCCAAGTTCCCCTTAACGTACAGGTAATAATAATAATACTTATTATTATTATCATTTCGGCATTACATGTAATGAACTTGGTCTAGTCTTGTAATCAAGAACCTGCCGATTACTATGCCTAATATTAATAACTAGCTCATTTTTACATTCATTCGGTGCTCTGCCATTTTGGCAGGTCTTATGGCATCCAGTATTTTAGAGCTTCCTATTCTCAGCGCTTCTCTTAATTTGAAAATAACTGTCACTCTGTTTCATTTGATCAGTGATGAAGAAAAACGCGCTCTTCCTTACTCTCTGTGCTTTTCCCAGAAGCGTTTTTAGTAGACGCAAAACCCAGGCCTAACTAAAAAATTAAAATTGTCATAGTATGTAACTCAAGTTAAAATAACACTTTTCATTACTCGTGGAGCTTAATAAAATATTATATGTAATTTTAAACGACCAATGTATTTTAAAAAATTAGACGGCGACGTTCTCTCAGAAGTTGTTCTGTAGACGTTTATCTGTTGACATTTTTGAACTCCTGAATTCTGCAATGAGATTTTCGGGTCGATTCAGCCGAGACAGGCCGAGTGGAGTTTCATGTAAATGTTTCGTACGGAAAAAATAAGATAGAAATGCGATACTGTGGTTCAATTTCGTTTTTGTCCTTTTGCAAGTTTCTTCAAATGTTTGTTTAATAATACTACTACTAATAGTAATAATAATAATAATAACAATGATGATGATGACGATGATGGTGATGATAATAATAATGATGATGATAATAATAATAATAACAATAATAATAATAA